ACTTTTGGGGGTTTAGGACTCACTCACTTCTGTTCTGTAGAATGGAAATCTGAACTACTGCTGGGAGTGGGAGAGAGAAGAAGAGACAGGCACTCACGACAAAGTCTCATGATAGCAAAACAGTCTTTGAGTTAACAAATACACTCTACAAAAGCAAAGCAAAACCAAGACAAACTATGGAGTGGGTGGTCCCAGCTCTGCTGCACTCACAAGACTGCTCACTCACAGAATTGTGACCAATCTCTGCAGCAGAGGCACGGCTGAGGAACAGCAGGAGGAGAAGAGCAGTGCCCGACTGGGAGCAGTGCCCCAGCACAGCACTGAACTGTCACACACAGGCACCACAGCCCAGGTCAGCAGGGTAGGGTGATCTCACATCCCTTGGACCACTGATTCACACTCTCACCTCAGTCCCAATCAGTCACAAATACAACACTAACGCATCCTCAGAAAGTGTTATTTAGCCTGGGTTTCCCCAGCACTCAATGCTCTGTCCTCACAAGGTCACAAAATCACAGTGCCACTTGGCTGAGAAAAACAATCAGCACACCCCAAAAATATTCATGGGATGTTGCACAGGAACTGCAGACTTCAGGGATCTGCTCTATTCCACCTTGGCACAGAGCTCTGGGCTTAATACAGGCCCCTCTGCTCTGCAGCAAGGACTCCCACCAACATCCCAGCTCTAAAAAGGACAGTCCTCACTCATACTGCTGTGAGTGAGTGGAAACCACTGGAGACAGGGAATTGCAGAAGGCAGCAAAGAAAGTGAGGCCGTGAATTTGGCTCCACTGCACTCAGGGAAGCAGTTGCCACTCAGCACCAGGACCAGCAGAAAGGAAAGCTGGATTTGCATGGCTTTTCTGCCTGTCCAAGGCAAACACAGAGACTACAGCCTGGGAACAGGAGAAAGGAGAAGCATGTCTGCATCTCAGAAAGACACATATTCAAGTGCTGCTCCAGCCTTGCTGTTTACACTCACACCAGAATAATTAGAGCAGTCACTGTTAAATAGCTAACAACTTCACCATCAATTCTCTGAACAATACGGAAGAATTCATCACAACATTTCACAGCCACCACTCTGCAGAAACACTGAAATCACCCCAGACACAAGCAGCCTAAATTAATCCCACACAGACTCTAGCAAAAACAACTACAACTATTTCAGCTGTACTCACCCAAAATTAATGCCTTCCCAGGGCAGCAATCCAAAAGAAATAAGCCCTCAACAAACCACACCTTATGCACAAAGCATGACTCAGCTCATGCACTGGGTGCCATCAAGAAATAAAATACAAGGGTTCATAGTCAGCCAGGTTCACTCCCTAAACCAGCAGCTTTGTGGGATATGAAGCTCCCAGCTGCCATGGGACAGCCCTCCCTTTCAGCTGCCAGCCTCAGCCCACAGAGAAGCTGTGTCATCACAAGAGTTTGGGCTTTCAGGAGAACTTCCCCATCCAGGGACACCAGCACCTGAAAACAGCAAACACAATCTCTCCGGCGTCAGGTACTTGACAGATATGACATTTGTGCTTCTCCCTCTGGTTATATCCATATCACTTGTGCCAAAAATATAATTTTTTAATATTTTTGGCACAAGTGATATGGATATAAGTGAATATTTAACATATAAAATAGGTATGAATATATAAAATATGTAATAAAACCGAAGAGTGCAATGAAACATGAAAATCTTTCTAAAAACTTAAACCAGTAGAAGTGACCAACAAGTTCAGGCTGCAAATTCCTAAGTAAGTTAGAACTGCAAGTTCTGCAGATCTTGACTGCATCTCAGCATCAATGACACAGTCTATATAAAATCTTTTTCTGTGATTAAGGACTTAGCCTGTAAAGTCACCACCTGTGGCCAAATACACACGCCTGAGAACCAGCCCTGTTTCTGAAGGGCTGGAACACATGTACTCACACCTCACCCACCACCACAAATCAACAGCCACCCTCCCACTCATAGATGAAAATCACTGTGGCTCCTTCCCACCACACCATCTTTCAGATTAGTATCCTCCAGTTTATCAGTTCTTAGGATCTGTTCTCTTTAGAAGGTTTCAGACACTTTTCTCCAACCATGCTAAGCTTAACCAGTGTCTTAATTAAAATGACATGCGTGACTACATGTCATTTTTTGGTATCATTCATTTACCAGCTGTACCTGACACTTTATCCATGACAAATATCCCTAACCAATCTTCAGACCTGCCTCGATGACTGCATTATGTCAACAATTGCTTTGCACACTTCAATCATTCCCACAGCCAGCCACACACATTCCTTTTCCAACCACATATCTTTGGTGTCTGGGTCACCTTCCTCCATGCTGGATGTTTGCTTCTTAAAGCAAGTGACATCACATGCCCCCCACCCCGAAAAAAAAGGAAAACAAATATTGAAAATCAGAGGAGCAACAAGGAAGACAAAGACATAAAAGGAAGAATTTTCACAAGGGTTACTGAATACCTGGTTGACCTCAGAGGGTTCTGCTTTGCTGCAGTTTAAGACACAAGCCAAGAACATTTTATCTCATACCAACTCTGTACTTGGCTTTTAGGCTGACAGCTCAGGCCTTGCTTTCATCCCAAAGATGAAGGGGTAACTTGCTTCCTTGCTCTTTCTCAGCAAAGGGATAGCTCAGCTTCCTGAGCCTCCCTCTCCACCTGCCAAGCTGCAGCAGAAAGTAGCAGAAAGCCCCTGCCAGAGGCTGTGCAGGAGAAGTCTCCCCCCACCCCAAGTCAGAGGTAAAAGCCCACCCAAAAATCATATTTCCCCATCCTCCTTCCTATTCAGGAGAGCTCCTGCTATGGCCTGATGTTGTCCAAAGCTGGGCTCTGCTGCTGACTCCACACAAACCATTTCACCTACTTGTGTTGCTTCACTCAGCATCCCCACAGGGCCCTGGAACCGAGGGAAACCTCTCACACAGGCAGAACCTGCCTCCCCTACCCAGCATTTGTCAGGGCTTTGAGCAGCTGAGCAGACCCATCAACAGTGCACCTGCCCATCATTCACCTGTGCTTTAGGGCACCAAAGGCTATCCTCTCTCCAGGCATCTTCCCAAGGCAGACTAACTGCATAAATTGATTTCTCATCCTACCAAACTGCCTTCCACAGCTCCAGCACTGACAAAATCCTCACAGCGAGCTCTTCACCAACACACATCCCTTCTCCACTAGCTTGGTGTGCCAGGATTTATCCCCTCTGCCCCTCGGCCAGGCAGATACCTCCTCTGGAGAGCAAAGCTGACATGCAAGAAGCCATCCAGCAACCTCAGCCTTTTCTTGAAGCCTCTTAGAAAAGAAGTTTCTCTTCCCCTGTCCTTAGTTAACAATGACCCTATAAAGGCTCTTCTAAGGTCAGCACTGACATTGAAGAGAAGATTTGGCTTTCAGACAGAACTGTTCTTTCCACAGTTCATTAGAAAGTGGCACAAATACAGGGTTAAAACATTCTTCAGTAACTTCAGGGAACAAATATCAGCAAAAAGAGATGCTCCACTCTGCAAGCAGAGCCTTGGCTAAAGCACAGTGACACAGCACAGTGCCACCTCTTCACACCCAGCCAAAGTCTGAAACACAGAAGGTTTGTCGTGATGACTGCCTAAATAGTGCTTCTTGCTCCAGCAAAGAGAACACTGTGACATCCTTCCAGACATCCCCTCTGCTGCAGGCTGAGCACACTCCTACTGCAGCCACCCCACAAGAGCCCAGGAGGGGAAGGGAAATCCCACAACCTTCCCAGCCAAAGAAAAGCTTGGCCTTGAAAGTCTAGCTAGTGCAAGGACAATTAATTGTATCAAGCAAAGACATTTAGGGTTTAATGAACACATTAATTAGAGAGCACAGAGCAGCAGCACCGGCTTTGAAAGTCATGGCAGAAGTACAGCATCTTCTGGCTGTGTGAAGGGGAAGCTCACTGCTCTGAGGCAATGCCAGGACAGGTGAGGTCCTCTTGCAGCTCTGCCCACCTTCCCCGAACCAGGATCTGTCCAGGGAGCACTCACACATACCCTACTCCAACCCATAAGAGCCATCCCAAATTCTTGGAGAAATAGCTGGGGACAGCTCCAGACAGAAAGAACTTCACACCAGCCAACACAGCTTCCCTCAAAGAAAGACATCAGTTGGGACCCAGTGGCCTGGCACCCATTGTGACTTAAAGCCCAGCCTTCAGACCATATCAACCCATGACATGCCTGAACTCCTTGCTGGAATGATAAGAGCCTGGTGCTTACGCTCCTGGTTGCTAAGATCTGACCTTCTCCAAGCAAAAGCCAAGGGAGCAAACCCAGGAAAGCAAATTTATTGCTTTGCCTGGAGTTTGATCCCATTCACACCAGGCACCCCAGCCCAAGCACAGGGCTCACAGCAAACCATGCACAGGACAGGCTGCAGCACAGCCCCAGCACGCTGGCTTTGCTTTTTCTCTTCAAGCAACTGAGATAGCGGTTCTCTGTTGCCTTATCCAGTTTCAAAAGCAACACTTCAAAGCCATCCCATGTCAAACTCCAGAACAAACTGAAGCTGCCAGAGATGCCTCTCAGGAAGGAAGTTAACACATGATGGGAAGATTAATGTGGAATTGCAGACTACTGTAAACAGAAAAGCAACAGCTTCCTACTAAACAAAACCTTTTACATTAAGTTACAACTACAACAGAGCGGTAATTTTACCTCCATCAGAGCAGCTGAAGAAAGTGGTATCATTGCAGGATCGGCAGTTTTCCTCGTTCACAGCACACAGGCCGTTGGGAGCTGCAGGTTATTGTCCCTCAGAGCCAAGGCAAGCAGAGAAGAAGAAAAGCCCCTCTCACGCCAGCCTGGCTGCCAGGGGCGTGCTCCGAGACCCGGCCAGGGCAGCACAGCTCAGGCCACGGCACCGACCCACGAGAAAACCCAAACTTTGAGGAGCTCAGGCTGATCCCAGGGGCAGGAGGAGGGTTAGGAAGCCGTGACAAACCTTCACGGAGCTCACCGCACTTCTTACCTGCTTCTCTGCCCCCTGGAGAAAAGGGCGACAGACGGCTGGCACCGGTCAAACTCAAACCCCCGGCTTTCAGAAGCATTTTATTTCCCCCCATTTATTTTTCAGCCCGGTAAAATCATCACCTCCGGAGCTGCAGCTGCCGGGCGCATCTCCGGATGCGACTCCCGCAGCTCGGGGGATGCGGCGGCCGCCTGGATCCCACCCGCGTCCCCTCCACCGCCGCCGGGACGCTGCCCGTGGACCGTCCCCGCGGACCTCTCGTCGCCGGCTGCCGGGGGGTTCGCGGCGCGGGGGTCTCCCGTTCGCGGGGGGTTCCCGGTGCCCGGTGCCACTCACCTGCTGCCGCCGGGTCCCGCCGGGTCCCGCCGGGTCCCGCCCGCCCCTCAGCGCCGCCGCCGTTCGCGCCGCCCGCCCCGCCCCGCATTGGCCCCGCCCCGCCCCGCCCCGCCCGCGCCGCCCATTGGCCGCAGGCGGCCGCGCCTCCCGCGGCGCGCGCGCGTGTGGCCGTGAGGGAGGTGAGGGGAGGCCGGGAGCGGCGAGGGGGCGCTGGGGTTTGGGGCAAAAAAAGCCCCCAAAAAACCCCAAAACAACAAACAAACAAACAAAAAACACAAAAAAATACCCTAAAACAAACAAAAAAACCACCCACTTTTTTTTTTTTTTTTCGGTGGCGTGTGGCGTCCAGCCAGAAGCGCATCTGGGGTGCGGGCTTTTGGGTGAAAACATGGGGCTTTTTTCTAATCACACAATCACTTCAGTTGGGAAAGACCTCTGAGGTCGTCGAGTCCAGCCTGTGACAGAATAGAACACTGAGAGTCGCGTTCAGGGAAAATGACTCCGCCATCTCCCTGGGCAGCTCGTTCCAATGCCTAATCACCCTTTCTGCGAAGAAATTCTCTCTAAACACTCCCTAACTGTGGGAATCCAAGGCTTCCCTCTGGCTGCCCTGGCCGGTCTGGGACCCTGGCAGGGGTCAGGAACCCCCCTGGACAGAGCCCCCAGAGACACTGTCTGTGATCTCTGTCCATGGAGAGGAGTTTTCAATCTTACAGGATGAATTACAAGCTTTGAGTGTTTGATAAGAGTAATAATTAAGTGTGACACGGGTGCAAAAGTAAAATTTTAGGTTTCTAGATTAGGGGTTCAGAGGGGACAAGATGGAGGAAATTGGGTGTGCCTTGTCCTTTTTCTCCTTCTTCATGCCCTCCATGTTTCACTGTGGTGTTGGCATTTTTCTGTTGGTTCAGGCTGGGGACACGCTGTTTAACGTAGATGATAGATATTGGCACATTATTGTAAATCCAGCACAGGTAGTTTCTGGTATTTAATGTTTGTAACATCCCACTGAGGGCAGAGCCCCACACGCTGCCCTGCAGGACAGAGCTGCGGCAGGGCAGCAGAACATGTTAGAGATAAACAGAATAAACAACCTTGAAACCAGCACAGACGAATTATGGCTTCTTCTTTGGCAACGGGGCAGAAAGACAGAGACTTTCTACAATCTCAGAATCACCAATACCCACAGATTCCGACACCTAACATGTATGATCAGGGAAGGTGGCACTGCCATGGTGGGAGCCGAGAGGCTCGGCGTGAGGAGCACAGGATCCCAGCTCACGGTGTCCCCTCATCCAGCCTCTGTCCCTAGAGGAGTACCACCCAACCCTGACCAGACACACTTGCTCAAGTCTTGCAGCAATGAGGAGAAATGCTGCACACCAACTAATCCCACTGCTGTTCTTCAAGGAATTCCTACAAGCAGGTGCCCTCTTTGGTTTGACTCATATTTTAGCTTTATTTTCCCCTCCCATTCTCTTTTAACTTCTTGTAGCGGACTCTACGGCTGAGTTGAGGGGTTCCCACTGCACCCAGCAGTGAAGTGTTTGCAGTGGGATTCTTGAAGATGTCAATTTTGTGACAAGTGACTCGTGGCAGGAGGCACTGGGCTCTGCTGTGACTCCATTCACAGTCAGGGTCCCCGCCAGGAATCTTGGATTTAGCCAGAGAGCTAAATGGATTAAATCCACATCCTGACTCAACCCACTGCAGACTGCTGCTCTGTCCTGCTGTGACAACAAGCAGATAGAAATGCCTGTGCCTGCTTCCAATGAGTCTCAAATAATCCTCTGCTTTGGAAACAAATTAATTCCTTACCATGGGTTTCATAACTCAAAATAACATATAATAATGCACCTTGTGGTTTACTACCACTTTTTAATCTCAAAAAAGCTTCCCCTGTTGTCGCTGTGATGAGAGAAGTAACAAAATGTAATTAAGAGGCACTATTCATTAAAACAGCAAAGTCATCTTATAAACCTGGCAAATAACATAATTTTTTAAAATTTGCTCATTCTGTGGGTATGTTTATTATAGTCAGCCATAGCCTGCTGCTGTTTGCTATGTGCCTCCAAGTCTTACTTTTCCTGCAGAAATGTGCTTTGTCACCCTGGCTGGTCACAGGCAGCTGAGCAACTCTCTACAGATGAACAGGTTTATTCAGGGCTAATACCCTTTCACTTCCATCTGAAATATTTGTGCATTCTCTTTGCCAATTTTCAGTCAAAAACCACTTGGAATTGAAATGTTATGTGGTTCAAATCTTGACTACTAAAGAGTTGCTGCATTCAGTGAAACGATCCCTGTTAGAAAGCTACAAAGGGCTGTGTTTTCAGCTCATCACAGAGAAAACCCAGCAGCGATCTTCCACGAACAGCAAGCGCAGGGGCAGTGAAAGGCTCTTGGGGCAGGTGAACAGCAGCATGATAACCATTGAGAGGATGGCAGATCCTGCTGCATTTTAGGATAGCCAAAACCATGTAGATGTGGCACTTAGGGACATGGTTTAGTGTCAGTGTTGGGTTTGTGGTTGGACTTGATCTCAGAGGTGTTTTCCAACCAAAATGATTCTGTGATTGTAACAGCATAGCAGAGAGCCCCATCTCCTTGAATGTGTGCTTCCAAAGCGGTTGTTGTCTTCCAGCAGCTCTGGATATTAGCTAATGACACTGATTAGACATCATCTCAAGGCAGCCAGCAGCCTGAGCTCCTGGGCTGTGTGTTTGCCTTGGTGGACTCTCGGGAAAAGTAAGACAAGCCCATGAGCAAAAGCAAAGCCTCCTCCCAGGCCTGAGTGAAAGCCCCAGCAACCTCCTTCTTGGCTGGCTGGGAGTTGTGCCCACAACCCAGGAATGTGACTGTGCCTGTGGAGGGACTGTGCTGCTGTGGCTCCAGGGCATGAGAGATGCTCTGAAAGACCATAACATGTAAGCCAAAACACTGACCTGTTTCACAGAGGCTTTTGGTTCTATCAAGCAAGGCCTTGCTCATGCAGGGCCAACTCCAGAGCAACTCATGCAGCTTCTCCAGAGCAATGAGTGAACCTTTCAGCCTCCTTCTCCTCTTGCCTTAATTCCTGCTGAGGAGGTTTTGCAAGGGTTTCAGAAGTCATTTGGACTGATTCATTTGGCTTTGAGATGTTTATGAGATGCTGGCTGTTTAGAAAATGCTGATATTTGTTCCCTAAGGATCTGCCTTCTTTAGCACCAGGCAGTTTAAATCAGCAGTGATGTCAGAAGCACAGTTTAGCACCAGTATCAAGGTTTGAAACTATCAACTCTGGCAAAGACTGTGAGCACTTGATTTAATTAAATAACCTGGTTGGCTCAGCTCAGTCAGAACGTGCTGTTTCTTCCAGAAAACAAAAAAAAAAAACCCAAAAGAAATCATGTACCTCAGCTTCCCTTTTCATCATACACAGGTGATTACACTGCAGAGCAGTTGTGGCCAGTGGAAAGAGGGTCACAGACAATGTCTCTATGATGCTTAGACCACAATTCCTATAACAATGTTAACATAAGACTTTGATATTTCTGTTCAATAGTGATTGAGAATGGCTGGTTGTTAACTGATTTTGCATGTTTTTTTGGGCGCAAGGACTGGGAATGATTTTATTTAATCTGCCCTTGAGTTACAGTCATGAGGGGAAGAGCTTACATTTCCCTAGACATGTCACTAGTACATTTAGGTAAAAAAAGATTTAAAGCCATCATTTTTTTAGGAAATCTCTTAGTGGTGCCAATAAAGCTGAGCAGGATCTGTGCTTGGTACTTGTGGGCAGAGCCCTGCTAACTGGAGCAATCCTGATTCACCCCTGCTGAGAAGCCCATCAGGTGACCAGGCTGTTGCTCTATTCAGAACCCATTTGGACAGTTTTAAATTTTATACTTTCAAAAATAAGGCAATAAAGCAATTAGAAACAAATAACAGAAGGAAGAGCACTTCACCAAAGACAGCCAAAGATTATAGTGTGGCATCATTAATACAGGACTAGCAGCAGGGAAAATGGGCTGTAACAACTGCACTGTCCCCAGGAGAGTGGCTGCAGGCTGAGCTGCAGATGTCAAGTACTCAAATAGCCAAGAAGCTCCTTTTGCCACCCAGCACAGTCTGGCCTGAGAATGCCCAGCTGCGGGACAGAAGGAAATAAAAGCATCCTTCAGAGCTGGGAGGATATGCATGTTCCTGCCAGTCCTTCACTGTGTCAGCCAGAGGATTTATCCAACTGAAAACATGCTCCCACAACAAAAGAGAAAGGAAAATAGTGTAACCAGAAAGGCAGGTGCTTTTTTAGGGAAAAATCCAAGGATGTCCTAAGAGGAGAACTGGGTTAAAAATAACAGGGAGTCTGCTGTGCCAGAGAAAGAATGAGTAGGCTTAAAGATAGGAGAGGCTGCACAGGAAAGGAGTTATCAACTTCTTGAGTGTTACTCATTTTAATTTGCCTTGTCTGGAAGCACCAGGTGGAAATCAGGGCCTCATTGTGCTGGGAATTGAGCACAAACATAATGATTAAATGTTGCCAGCTCTGCAGAGATTGAAATATAATTCCTCATCTCTGCAGAATCACTAACTAGCATAATTATTACCAAATAACTTTTTCTCTAATTGCTCTTCTGGAAAATCTGTGCTACTTGATTTTTTTCAAAATAACCCTGTCTGAGGGAGTGAAAAGATATATCTGTACAAGGTCCAACCTAGTAGCCTTTACAGATAACAAAGCTGGTCAGAAGCAGAAAATTCTCACTACATTTAAATCCCTGTTCAAAAATTATTTGCTTGTACCTTGGTTTCTGTTTCTATAAAATGTGAATAGTCACACTGCACTCATTGCTTGCTTTTGTTGTCTAACACCCATGATCAAGGTTAGAGTCCTCTGTCAGACGTTTTGAGCACCAACATCATCACATACAAGGGCTTGTTACTGCCGATTGTAAAGAATAGGAATTAACTGGATAATATACA